TAGGTCTGGAATCCTCAAATTTTATATTGTAAGTACTAAAAAGGCCTAACACGAACTGTTGGATCGAATCTACAATTTTAAAGTGAACTTATAATAACCCCTGCCTGATGGAGGGGTTAAAGTTGTGATTGTGAACTCCAGATACCAACTTTGAGATAATTCGGATGAAAAATATGGTGAAGATCGGAAATTTATCTAATATCGGGGGTACCAGTGTATGGGGAAAATACGAAGATGTAGACCTCCATAGATAATAGATAGTCATTGCGAACTCCAAATACCAAATTTGAAACAATTTCGTCACATAAATCATTAAAATATCGTAAATAGTTAGGTACGGTTATATGGGACTATATAGATTAGTTTCTACATAAAAGGTTCACAAACCGTCAAAGTATGACTAAAACAGCCAAAAACAACTTATATGGGGCTATATCAAAATGTGGACCTATATAGCACTTTTTTAATACCAAATATTCTACGGACCTAAAATGCATCTCAACGAAATGTTATCCACCTACTTCATTTTGTTCGGATAAATACTTGAAACCATTCAAAAAAAAAAATAAATTGATCTGGACGAAGGAAACTTGTATTTGCATCATAACTTTTAAGGAAGAAATAATATAATATATAATAAAAAAATAATATATTATTTATTAATTATAATCTCCTCACTTGATTGACTGACAATCATGCCATGAAGCGCCTAATTTGGTCTTGTCGCATTTTTTATATGAACGGAGACCGCAATGAATATGCATATCGACGATTAAAAGAATAGTTTTCTTTATTTATTTATTTCGAATGAAAACGTTTGCATTGTTGTAAATGTAATAGTAAATTGTTGTTGCCCATTTTTACAACAAACAAGAAAATTGTCTAGTATTATACACGCTAATGACTTTGAAAGCAATTAGGTTTAGTGGTTCGAGTGTTCTTTTTTTTCGAGTGTTCTTTTTTTTGCAAATTCCAAAATATTTTATTGTCTGGCGGCGTAAAGATCCGCATGGATGGTTAAAAATAAAAGTTTTTTTTTTAAATTCCTAGTAGCTATTGTTGTTGTTGTTGTTTATAATTGTCAACAACTTTGGGGTATTAAAGTCATTAAATTTTGAAATTGGTTTGAAAGCATTTAATTTTTATATTTAAGTTTCCTTTGCCAATATATAATAATATATAAAATTATGAAAATTAATAAATGTTCTGTTTCAGTACTTGTAAGAATCTACAAGTTTTGAAAATATTATACGAAAAAATTCGGTTATGGTAGTAACCTAGCAAAATCTATCTTAAAAAATCACAAATTTTATTTTTAAAATATTCTCACTTCCTGTCCTTTTTATACCCTACACCACAAGGTGGTCAGGGTATTATGTCTTTGTGCATTTGTTTGTAACAGGCAAAAAGAAACGAGATAGTCCAATAGTTCCTTTTGATGATCTGCATAGAATCTGAGTCGATTTATGCATGACCTTCCGTCCGTCTGTCCATGTATTTTTGTAAACAAAGTACAGTTCGCATTTATTGCCCTATCTAGACGAAATTTTGCACAAATCATTTGTTTGGCCCAAGGACGAACCCTATTAAAATTGGAGATAATCGGTCAAAATTTAGATATAGCTCCCATATATATCTTCGTCCGATTTGCCTTTTATTGTGCACCTGAAAATAGGTGTGCCAAATTTGATCGAAATCGGTTCAGATATAGCTACAGCTCCCATATATATTGTTCATCCGATTTGTTATTTTTGCCCTCCGCAGCCGTAATATGCACTCTGTAACAACAATATTTGTGGAAATATATCAAATACAGCTCAGAAATACATTTGCTAAATTTTATCGAGATCGGTTCAGATTTGGATATAGCTCCCATATTTAACTTGGTCCGATTTATCTTTTATTGTGCACCAAACGTCTAATATTTGCCCGAATGGGATGTAATTTGGCACTTACGACCGAATTGAGTCTAGAAGCTAGTATGTCAAATTTGGAGAAGATCGGTTCAGATATAGCTAAAGCTCCCATATATATTGTTCATCCGATTTATTATATTTGTTACCCACAGCCGTAATATGCACTCCGTAACAACGATATTCAGGGAAATATATCAAATACAGCTCAGAAATATTTTTGCCAAATTTTATCAAGATCGGTTCCGATTTGGATATAGCTCCCATATATATCTTTATCCGATTTCAAATTAATTGGCAAATGGGCAATACAAGTCCGAATTTAAAATATACAAATGCTTCGGCATATTTAGTCCATTGAACTTTAAATTATAATTATAATCATAGCGTGTATGATTGAATTCTCCCATAAAAACTTTTAGTAGATATGCGGAGCTCTACTAAATTAGCAAAGTGGTGTAGGGTATCATAAAGTCGGCTTTAAGACTTTCTTTACTGGTTAATATATTTAATTTTGATATTTTATTTAGCTCCCGAAAAAACATCATTCCAATATACAGGGTGAGATGAAAAAATTGCAAGCAACTTTAGACTGCTCTCATTTCTAAGCCATTCGTCCGACAGCTTTTAAAATCATTCCAGTGACAGCTCATTATATTGTTTTAAAAGCGTACAAAACCATTTTGGTGAGAATTTTCCAGAAAAAAAGTTATTCGTGATGGAATTCAAGCGTGATAGTGTGATTTCTTTATATTTGGCTGGAAAACCACAGTGGCTATTGTTAGAGCACTGCAGCATTTAAATGAGAATAAATCTTTTGTGTCTCGTACCATCACTCGTTACCGTGTGCTGATAGTGTAGCCCGACGTCAAGGAAGTGGACTTAAGAAAACAGGAACTCAACCAGAAATAGATCGAAAAGTTAAGAAGAAGCTGAACATATTGCAATATTCCATTCGGCAAATATTGAAAAATGAGCTCGGGGTAAAGCCATTGAAATTCCAAAAAGTGCAAGAACTTACACCGCAACAGAAAGAAAATAGACTCAAAAGAGGTAAAGAGTTGCTTCGCATGGCCATAACTCAAGCACCGGCAATGGTGATGGTGTGGGCCGCCATAACAGATGGTCGCCCTCCGCTCGTATAAATCGACCGTGGCATCAGAATAAATGCCGAATATTATCGCGAATATATTATGGAGGGTGTATTAAAGCCTTGGGCAAGCAAACATTTGGCCGCAGACCTTGGACATTCCTACAGGACTCAGCACCATCGCACTCAGCACGCGTCAGCCAAGAATGGTTACAAAATGAGGTTCCTCGCTTCATTTCTAGCGCACAATGTCCACCAAAATGTCCGAATACCAATCCGTTGGACAATTGTGTCTGGAGCATTTTGGAAAGCAAGGTTGGGATTAAAAATACCAAAGTGTCGATCACCTCAAGTAAGCGCTTCGCCGAGAATGGACCAAAATACCTCAGAGCAACATTCGGGCAGCGTGTGACGGTTTCATTGGCCGTTTGAAGGCCATAATTCGTGCCAAAGGTGATCAATTCCAACAAATCTTAACTTGATGCTATTTCCGACATTTTTTGCTTTCATTCAATAAAATTAAAAAAAAAAAACAAGAAAAAAGCTGTAAGTTCGGACGGGCCGAACTTTGAATACCTTCCACCATTTGGAACGAATTTAGCAATTCTCAAAAACAATAACATCCGTTAACAATTCCGTTAAAACACTAAAAAATACCGAATGTAGCTGTTATAATAGAGTCTATACGACGACATCAATCTGTATAGGTAACATTTGTCACAAGCGAAACTTAAAAAAATCGGTAATAATATCGATAAAATCAAAATACCGAATATCGGGAGGTACCGTTATATGGGGGCTCCACGAAGACGAGGCCTGCACAGACAATTTTCTGTCTTAGGCTGTAGTATTCATTACGAACTTCAAGTACCAAATTTGAAACAATTCTTGTGAAAAATGTCCCTAAAATCATTAAAATACCGAATATAGAGAGGTACCAAAACGTGGACCTACATGGTCCATTTTCAATACCAAACGTCCTGCAGACATAACATACATTTGTGTAAAATTTTATCAATCTGCTTCAATTTGTTCGGAAGCTAGAGTGATTTCCACAGACGGACAAACGGATAGACGGACGGACATAGAATTTTATGCTGACCAAGAATATATATACTTTGTGGGGTCTAAAATGTATATTTCGAGGTGTTACAAACGGAATGACAAAACTTAATATACCCTCCATACTATGGTGGAGGGTATAAAAAATGTAAAAATTATGGCGTTTGACGTTTTTGCAGTTTTTTATCTCACCCTGCATGTAATTTCGATGTTTTATTTAGCTCCCGAAAGAACATCATACCAATATATATTTTAATGCCAGAACAATGTGTGCATTCTGCTGATAAAATTGAAAAGTCATGCAACAATAGCTATCCGGATATGCAGCAACAAGCAGCACCGGAAATATCTAGCATAGATCCATTGTTTCAATTTAAAGTACGCTCAGTTTCATCGCTGCAAAGGGCACAAAGCACTTGATGCAATCAAAAATTAGTCTAACTGAAATAACTGTTTTAGATATTCTTAGTAGACCCGTTCTAGGCATTTCGAGTCACTTTGTTGTATTCCTACCAATGTTGGGGTATGTTGTGCAATTCCTTCCGATATCGCTCACCAAAAACGGTCAATATTTAAATTCCAGACGTAAATTATTTTGCTTCGTAATTTTTGAAGAATAATCCATAACATTCAACCTTCCTGGTAAAGCAGAATATAGTTTGTTTACATTACCGTTTTCATAATCGAAATCGAATCTGGGGAAAGATTTTTGTTTAATTCCAAATTATTTTCAACAAAACTGTTCAATTTACAAAAGTTTAATCGCAGCCTTTACTTGAAATAAGAGGTCCGATTTTTCGTAGACATATTTATCTTATATCGTCTAATACCAGTTATAATCGTCGGTTTTTAACAATATATTAAAAACTAATAACATTCCATAAATAAAATCTTAAATAAATTCAATTTTCATGACTTATAAAAGTCCGACTTACCAAAACATCAATGATGATATGGGATTCGCCGTTTCCCGGGGATTCTCCGGCAGTTCGTCGGCTTTAAAGGACTGCATGATGGCAGTGTTCTGTAGTTCGAGCTACCGATCCCGCTAATGATCAAGTGTTGTCAATCACAATAACGTCGAAAAATAGAAAATAAAAACTGAAAAAAAATTATATAATTAATGGATTTTGTAAATGTTTTCTTATGTATTCTTTTTTCACACATTTTTTTTTTTGTTATCAATGTTATTTTTATTGTAATTATTCTTGTAAGAAATTTTATTTTAAAATTCTAGTAAAGAGAATTGAATATTTTATGTAAAACAAACTTGTAATACCTTCAACCATGATGTATACAGAGTAAAAATTAGGACCTATATCAACAGTTTTTCGTAAGGTTGTTAGACACCTTCAAATACAAAATTTCAGACAATTCCGTTGAAAAAATTGAGCAAAGCCATCAGAATACAAAATATAGGGACCTACCGTTATATGGGGATATACCACAATATATAACAAAACGCATATGTACGAAATTTCAGCAATCTATTTCAATTCCTTTCGAAGATCGCGTGATTTATAACAGACGAACGAACATGGTTAAATCGGATTAAAATTTTACACTGATCATGAATACATATATAAAATGATGCTTCGATTAGTCACAAACGGAATGTCAAAATAAATATACCCTGCTTCCAACACCATAGAGGGTATGCTAACTCATTCTATTCGTAACATTTCGAATTAATCACCTTAGACCCAGAGGGAACAGAAACACGCCAGCGAGTAAAAAATAAGGTATACTCCATTTTTCTATGCCACTCGAATACGAACGAGTATGCTTTCTCGTTTTCGAACAGGAGTAAAACACGGTCGGTTGTGCCAAAATTCAGGTCATTTGGACTGACTTTGACCATTTGGTGCACAATTAATCCGAAATCGGTTGAAGATATATGTGGGAGCTATATTTAAATCTGATTATTGCCAGTTTCCAATTACCACTACGGTCAGTCCTTGGGCCAAACAAATATTTTTGCAAAATTTCATCTCAATCGGATAATAAATGCGACCTGCATTTTTTCAAAAGAATACATGGGCGGAGGGACTGACTCGACTCAGAAAGTGATTCTATGAATATCCTCAGAAGTAACTATGGGTCTATCTCGCTTCTTTCTTTCTGTTACAAATGCACAAAGACATAATACCCTTACCACTTTGTGAATATTGAATTCAGATGCAAGGGAGTACATATTTCTCTCCGTAATTAAATTCTTCTTTTACTTTTATACACCTATGGTATTTGAAGTTCATAATAGGTAATCTTATCGATTCGCCGTTCCGTATAACACATCGAAATAATAATTTTAGACCGAACGATGCATATATATTCTTGATTAGCGTAAAATTCTAAGACGATTTAGCCATGTCCGTGCGTCTGTCAATCTGCTGTAATCAAGCTAGAGTCAAAACAATCTGTCTTTTGTGTACAGGCAGGTCAAGTTCGAAGATGGGCCATATCTGTCCACTATATCATATAACTGTACCTCCCGATATTCGGTATTTTGATGATTTTAGCCACATTTTTCAATGAAATTGTCTGAAATTCTACACAAGGAGTTCTCTGTGAGTGCTTTAACTCCTGAAAGAGAATTTTCTATATAGGTAGGGGCTATCATATAGCCCCCATACAATGGTGCCCCGCAATATTGGGTATTTTGATGTTTTTAGCCACAGTTTTCAATGGAATTGGCTTAAAATGTACACAAGGAGTTCTCTGTGAGTACTTTACCCCCTGGAAGGGAATTGTTTATATAGGTCTACGTTTTAGTATAGCACGTTCGCCCGAACAGCTACTTTTTTACTTGTCTTACTTGATTCCGCCGAACTTAAGTTTTTTTCTCATTTGTGTTACTTAATAAAATACATTCATGACGAAAGGATGAATGTCTGTTTTACACCTTCCGCTATAAGGGAAAATAAATTCGCTTGGAAATGTGGCTAAAACATCTGATTTTCAAATATAGCCGGTCCATTACAAAGCAAGCAGAGGCCACGACGGTAACCTTGTTGCCCCTTTTGGCCATTTCATTTTCTATATTCCACGCCGCCATTTTCCTTTTTTGAACTTTAAATCACAATTATATTTTTAACAGCAAACTTGGTATTCCTCAAGGTGTATTTAATAAGGTGTAATAGACAATAATTTCTTTTCTCAACTTTTTTCATTTTTGTTTGTGAATAAACTTGTTAAATCTTATTAACAATTTCTTTCATCTTTCTGTTGCATTTGTATATGGGAGCAATATCCAAATCTGTACCGATTTCAATATAATTTGGAAAATGTATATTCGTTTTAAATTTCGTTACACATTCCAAATTTCATTGAAATTAGAGATACATAGAGAGTTTGGTGCATCAAATACATGAAATCGGCCGAATATGTATATCGGAACTATATCCAAATCTGAACCGATTTCTATATAAATTAGCAAACAATTTTTCTAGACAAATTCCGGCTATACCAGAATGTGGACCTATACATATGTTTCGCCACACGAGTTAGAAACCATTATGACCTACAATTTTTAGACAAATCCGTGAAAAAATGTGGAGCAATAATCATTAAAATATGAATATGGGGAGTTACCGTTATATGGGGGCTATGCCAAAACCTTGGCCGATATATCTCATCTCGTTGATGTTGAAAGGCAATACAAATTGTTCTGCTAAATTTTGACGCTCTACGTCACATAAAGTTTGGTGATTTCAACAGACAGACGGACGGACAGAGGGACAAACGGACAGAGAGACAGACAGGCGGACATCGTTTATTCTCAAAGTCGAATTTATGCTGATTATGAATATATATACTTTAAGGGGTCTACGAAGAATATTTAGGGATGTTACAAATGGAATGACAAAGTTAATATACCCTCCTTTCCAAGGTGGAGGGTATAATAAATGGGATATATTCCTTATATAATCCCAAAAATCGTGTGTAAGAACAATTGTCAATGTTTGAAAATTAATTTGTTTAAAAATTCGAACTAGCAAAAATTACAAATTCGTGCATGCCAAATCATATAACCCAGAGACATTTTATATTTAGCAGGTTAGGAGATTAATCTGAATCCTTCGAAGTGTTTAAATCGGAAGGTACCGTTACACAGCTTTTTGTGAGGAAGCATCCTATTTACTGAAATCGCGAAATATCTCCAGTTTATTTAAAACAGAAATTTAAATACTGTTAGTCTCTTCCGCAAGGAAATAAACTTGTCTCTTAAATCTATGAAAATGGTTACAAAATTTTGAAAAAGTTGAGTCGATATTATGAAAAAAATGTTACACGAAGTTGAGTTTCAACACAACTCCAACAAAATTTTCCAACTTGCCAACTTGATCAAAGTTCGTCGATTTTTTTGTTTACTAAAAAATCGTATTCTTACTTTACAATTAAATTTTTATATATAGAAAATAAAAGATATATGGCCTAGTGTATGCATCTCAGATCCATCCTCCAATTCTTTTTCTGAGCTGTCACCAAAAACAACTGTTTTATTGCCTCTCTACATGACTTTTGGCTATATATTCTTCAACTTTTGACACTGTAATGTATCCGACAAAGGGGGTGGGGGAGTTTTTTTTGTGCCGCCATCTCTCCCAGCCGAATGACATTAAATTATTTGTTCGCCGAAAATCGGCGGATATCATTAAGACACTCCACCGTACAAAAGACCAAATTTGTACTCTCATGAAGTAGCTACCAAAAAAAAGGGGGAGAAGAAGTTGCTTCGAGGTTCATGTGCCGTTCGCTGCTGTAGGCATTGTTTGTTTAGTAATTCTTTTTGGAATTCGCTACAAGATGTTTTTGTTGGTGTTCGATTTGGGTTTTATTCTTGTTTGTTTTTGTTTTGCATTGTCGGATTTCAGAGAGATATTCAATACTCGCACTCAAATAAATTGATTTTGGTTTGTTTGTTTTAATGTTTATTTTTTATTGTTATTGCAATTATTGTTGTGGTTGTTGCTGTTGTTGTTGTTATGGGGGTTCTAGTCAAGCGACTAATGTTTCTTCTCAAATTTACAAAATTCCACAGAAGAACAACCATTTTAACTACATATTTATATGACACACCGAAGAGGAGGGTGGTATTGACACACTGACTGCTGCGCTCGAGCCATGTTCTGTCCATTCGTCGTTCATTGAACGGACGGATTGGATATTCAAGAGGCGCCAATTTACACTTGAGTTTTGGTGCGGATCGCAAGCAAATGTAATAACAATTGAAATAAAACTTATCGTTAGGAACCGTTCGAATCGATTCCATACAAATGCCATAGCGGGACTTTACGAACTATGAATTTTTACAGTTTTTCTTTTCCATAAAATTGAGATTTTTTTCGATTTTTATTTTAGAAATTTATGCAAAAAAAAAACACATTTCCACAACTTACACCCAGACCCGCGGTACGACGATCAGACGATGATTACGCCTCGTTGTGCAGTTAATGCCGTTTGTTTAAGCGTGCGTTATTTCCGGCGATACGTTCATCGGCACACAAGCGACGCGCTCAACTAACCAACTGTGTGCGAATGGAGTTCAGTTTTGCCCCTTGTTGGGGTACTACAGCTGTCTGCGCTATCTCACTTGATTTCCATAAGCCAAATAAATATTCTCCCTCTGCCGAGCGAGTTATTGCTGCTGCTGTTGATGTTGTTTTTGTGCGGTGTTGTAGTGGTGCCCGCAGAGATTTTCATATCTTTTTTTATTTAGACATTAACCGAGAAATTGCATTCGTGGTTATTCGCTCAGTGTCGTCCAAGCGGTGTACAGAGGGATGCCATATTTTTTATGGTTTCTTGTGTAAAATTGCAAGGATCGTCGGAAATTATAAAAAAAGATCAACGATGAGAAATTAAATCAATACTACAATTGAAGGTTAAACATCTGGGTGGAGAGTTCTCCGAGAGAAAAGACGGTGAGAAATCTGGTGTTTATCGAAATTCGATTTGATCTCGGGCCGAAACTCTGGCCAAAAAATCCAAATTGTACAAGATGGCGCAAAAGCAATCCTCCTATCAGAAATGGGTATCAGTCGACGGTCTTTACATGATATTTCCGTACAAAGTTCAGATGGTGCATCAGCTGTTAGCTG